TGGAGGGTAAAGGGTCGGACATTTTAATTTTAATTTTGGGATGGTTCAGTTTGAATATGTGCCCTCTGGAAGACACTTTTATTTTATTTAAATAAGGACTGATGACTGACGAGAATTTGTATTGTGTCTATAATGTCAAAATGAACATTTGCTTTTGTTTGTATGTGTTGTAGGCCAGCCCAGATTTGTTGTTGTTATTGTTTTACCGTGGGTTTGCATGCACAGCAGATTTCCAATACAAGTTTAATCCTGCTACAAATAATTCTTTTGTTGCAAAAATGACAAATGATGGTCTTAGAGGGATTTGTATTAGCTTTCACCATAAACAGTTGTTTGTCAAGAAATAGTTATAGCACAAACATCACTCCAAATCCAACATTTGGCATTACTGTATCTCAATGTCCTTATCAATACACCTTAGAAATGTTGATAGGTGGTGTAAAAAAATGCATTTGATAGCTGTGTACTAGCTTTATGCTAAGCTAATCGCCTCCCGGTTCTATACTTGAAGCACAGACATGACAATATCTGTCTTCTCATCTGTATCACATTTACAGCTACAATTTCTAAGGAAGAACAACTCTTAATTGAACCACATTATTTCTCAAATAAATAACAAATTCTATGAGAAAAGCATTGGAAATCTGCAGAGGAATCCCGCGGCTAAAAATGCTAACTGACCCTGGGCCTGGCACTACAATTCGGCATTACTGTAACACTCCTCTTTAATATATATATTTATTCTGTTACGTGACTCTTCCAGAGATCACCCCCTCAGTGAAGGCACTGATTGTATAAAAGCACCATAATAACCATGGCAGCTTTTTCATTTCCAGTTATATTTACCTACGTTAGTGAACATTGAACACTACTGACATGATTTGTGTAATTGTTACGTGACACTGAATCTGATGCTCTGAACATCACGTCTGTTTAACGTCTGGATGACACTGTGTGGAGTTTAAGCTAAATGTGTCAAATGTTCTCTGACTTTGTTCTGGTGTGTAGCGGTGGGACGGGTTTCTCTGTGTTCCTGTGAAGAGAAACTGATTCGGGGAGGATATTGTATTTATTTATTTTAATAAGGAGCTTTGTGTCAACGAACGTCCAACGCCATTTTCTATCTACAATGTTTCTGTTCAGTAGGCAGAAGTCAGCATGGTGGTCTTCTTGTTTCTTTTTTTTTCTTTTTTAAATAAACGCCATTTTTGAACATCCTCTCCTTTGAATGACTACACATACATTTGCATGACACTTCACAGGAAATACTAGTATAGAGGTATAAAGAGGGCATTTAAATATATACAGTTTTTATTTTATATCAATCTTTAATAATAGTTATACTCAACGGAAGTCAACTTGATGGCTTACCGAAACATGGACCACATATGAGCAGAAAATAAACCTTTATGAAATCGTTTTTTAACATAATTATAATGTACATTTTGTATGTGTTACAACCTGGCTCGTGGGCTGTAACAAAAAGTTGGGAGTCGAGACGAGGGGTATGAAAATATAACAATAATTTATTAGTGGACACAAAAATAAACAGCCGCGGCGCGAGGCTTACACGGGAAGTGTGCGAGAGGATTGAGAGAGGGCCTCCCGAAACGCGATGGGCTGTATTATAGCAGCCGCCCAGGTGCAGCTCGTCAGTCCACGATCACCCACAGCACTGGAACCTGCAAACAAGAGAGAGACCACGGAACGCCTAGTGGTGTGGAGGGGTCGTCACAGTATGTAGGCTACAAGCTATAACTTTAAATATAATGTTTCCTGTGGGCTCTCGTAATTGCTGTGTGAACAGATACTGAATCGTACAAATAATTAGACGCTTTCACACCAAGTAATTTGCCGTACTTAGTTCATCAGAACTCTTTAGTTCTGATGAACTAAAGAGCAGATCGCGTTCACACCATAGACTGTATATTTTTCATTTTCAGGATTGAATGTTCAAACCAAGGCCTAAAACCTGGCATTTCATAAGAAAGTGACTAATATATAGACAAAATGTAATATTGGATAAAATACTACACCAAATGGACAGACACAGATTAAAAATAAAGTCCCCTGGTTTGTCTCTAGAGTCTACGGAGCCCCTAAAGGGACATGGAAAAAAAAAAAAAAAGTCGGGATAACGGGTTAGTATCTCGTGAAAAAAAAGAAAAAAGACGATAAAAAAAGAAAAAAGTCGGGATAACGGTTTAAGAGACATAAAAAAAAATATGAGAAAAAGAATAACAACGGGGGGCCCCAAGGAGATCGTCTCGGAGGTGTCCTGCTGAGAGGTAATCAGCGACACTCCCAACACACCAAGATTACTGGCCGCCGCCGCTATCTGCGCCCCGAGCCTGAATATCTTATCCAGATACTCAAGCATTTCGCGGTCACGCGGCAACGGGGGGCAGGGGCCTTCTCCCCTCTGCCCACCCGGCTGCCTGCGGAAGCAGATGGGCCGCCAGGCTTTCATCCAGTGGGGGCACACCGGGACCCTCCGTGTCCGAGTGGCCCTCCACTCTGAGGATTCCAGCCCAAGTAGCCACCGGAGCCTTCGTTCTCAGTGGCTGCCGCCATGTGGCCTCCACACACCGCCAGATGTCTGGCAGGGGGGGTGAAACGAAGGCCGGTTGTGCTGGCCGGGCCGTAGAAGCCCTGACACAGGCGGCTCACCGGCCTCGGTGGCAACGGTGGGGGGAGCGGCAAGCCTGCACGCTCCGCCGCCATAGTCATCACCGCCGGGAAGTCCTGTCGCGCAGACCTGTGCTGTTGGCCTTCCTGGCGGTCGCCGGAAATCCCAGACGACGAGGTGTCGTCATCGTCGTCCCTCTCCGTCCAAAAGAAAACACATCACCCTCACACAAAAAACCACCCTTGAATGATGGGATAGTAGACTAAAAGCTTTAGGAATCCAAACTATAACATATAATAAGTACCCTGTATCAAGATTGATGCAAAACAAGTGACATTTGACCTTTATAGAGAGATTTAGAAAAAAAAACCTCACTTCTGGGGTCATTTGGGTGCATTTTCCATATCTATGGACCCCCTCGTTCGATTTTGACAATTGACACCTATTTTTAAACCGTTAGAGCCAATATAATCGAGGGGAAGTTCCTAAAATCCATCTAAACATTACCCATTGGTGAATGAGTGATGCGTAGCCAGAATGCCCAAAACCGGAAGCTGGGTTGTAGCTCTCATACACTCTATGAAAACTCCATTTTGACATAAATGTTATGATGGATTATCAGTGGAGTTTCCCTCACAGCTCAGTGACACAGACGTTTTGGTGACGTGCTGCCCACTGTCAGGACTCACTATGAGAGACGCTGCTGAATTCAAATCTGAAAAACAAAAAGGGGACATTTTAACCGTGAAAACTGTAAAAGACATTGCATGCAAAAAGAGATTAAACAAGCCTAAAAAGTGAATGTTTAATCCATGCATATATTGCATTTGTTGAAAGTAAAAAAATAATTAGTGTTGTTGGTTTTGTTATATGTAAAAAGCAGTCATTCCGATTGACACAATATCAAATTAAAGTTAGTTAGATAGATTCACAACAATTAAACATGTATTGATACAGATAAATGAAATGTAATATGCCCTGATGATTATTTCATGAATGCATAGAATTGTCAGAAAATAAACTTAACAAACATTGAAAAAGTTATGTTAAAGTGGACCTATCATGCTATATTTGAATAATATAGTGTAGGACCATACCTATATAAGGCATATTTATACTTTTTTTTTTTCAAAATACCAAACAGATCATGCATTTTAGCCATGCCTCATTTTGCTCAATTTGAATTTTTTTTAGCTCTTTAGTTGCAAGGGCAGATTCAGTGAGAACAGCACCATCTACTGGCCAGCCATATGTACTACAGCGTCTCCAGCGCTTTCGAACGGCAATGGCCGTGGCTGTCTCCTCCTGATTGGTGGAGTTGGCCCAATAGCCGTAGCGCCACTGTCCTGACGTCAGGACAGTGTTCAAATCTGGATCAGTTTTTATCAGATCCGTTGCAGCCCCTTTTTTAGAGATTTTGGTATGGAGGAAAATAGAGAGGGTTGTGTTTTCTGACACTTGGTGAGTTCCCTGGAACACCGGGGACACATATTCATGTATAAAAGACGTACAAAAGTGCATTTTGCATGATAGGTCCCCTTTAAGGATTTGAACATTGCTGACTTTGGCAACACCTTGTGGTACATTTTAAAATGACACCCTAGCAGGCAGCACGTAACCATATCAAAAGCTTAAAGCGAGTAGTATTTCTTCATACCTGCAGCTGATGCCATCTGCACATGTGAGTAAACACAATCCTCCGGTTCATTTCCCCCCCCTGTTAGACAGATCAGGAGAAAGCATGAAAAGACAATAGGCCCTACTTCACTTAATTTAGGCACTGCTAGCCTACAAAAGCACCTTAATTATTGTATGTTATTACGACATATAAATCAAATACTCACCCTTCTTAGACATTTTTTTGAGCTCGAGCACAGAATATGTCGCATCCCTGGATTCATCTGAAATATAAAATGTATTTTATATTTAAAAGAGTGAACCTTGAATTGTCATATTCCAGTATTTATATTTACTATACTGTACCATTTGCAGGTCCTTCAGGGTCTTTGATTGTTTCATAGAGACAGGCATTATCTGAAGAGAAATCAAAATCAAACCCAATTCATATTAAAATCCCTCTGTATGAACTCCTACATTTTTTAAAACAACCAATGAGAAATGGAAATGCTACGCGGATGCTACGTTCACAAAAAAATCAAAACGTATTAAGGATTCAGGCTGACCCTGAAGAACGGAAGCATATTCCCTTTGGTTAGTTTCGTCCTGGTTGATCATGTGGTCTCTAGCAGTGCTCTGATTGGTCCTCTGAGATCTGGTGGGCAAAACACATGTAGTAAATGAAGTGGATTTATAAAGGAACATATCACTGCTGTCATGTTCATAATAAAATAAAAAAGAGCGTTGTACCAACCTGATACAGCATGAATCTGTTAAAAGAAGACATTTGCTGCTATGTTATTATGTTTTGCAAAGTGTCCTACTGTTAAAACAGTACGTGTGGTTACATTAGAGTCCATCTGATATCAGAAGAAAATGATCTCACCTTTTGACTTTCTGTATAAATGCAGGAACAGCAGCAGGAGAATAATCAGTACAACTCCACCAAGCAGCCCAACGATCAGAAGAATGGGAAATTGAGAGGCTTTTCCAGGCCTGGACGCTGCTATTATAAGTAATCTTTATTAATATTATATCTCCAACACTTTCCTGTAATAGATTAACTTTATAAAACCTTTCTCTCTTACACAAACACAGTTTAATTCAGATGAAACTAAACTTTCTTTATCTCAGACTGTAACACAGCTTACAAAAAAGGAAGGGTTTTAAAAATCATACTTACATTTGACTGAGAACCAACTCTCTGGTGACGTCCTACCATCTGCTGAATCTCTCTGTTTACATTTATAAAAGCCTTCGTCTGACTTTGACACTGCAGAGATGTTCAGCTCCTTCCTGGTATCGTTCTGGATGAGTTTGTCATCTTTATAGAAATCCACATTATAAAGAACAGATCCTGTCTTGAACTTGCAGCTAAGAGTGACAGAACGTCCCTCAGCCACAGGACGGACAGGACTCACCAGGATCATTTCATCATCTGAAAAGAAATCAAAGAATATAAAGGCTTTGACAGAGTCATCAGCTTTTGCAGATTTAATATGTTTATGCACAACTGGCCTAGTCTGGCAGAAGCTGAAATGTCAGGTAGATGTATGAGGACATTAAAACACAGAATATTATCTTTGATCTTTGAGAGAAGTACCCCTGGAAATCACTTCGCAAATTAGCCTTTTTTATGAAGTTTTACTAATTTGAAGAGACATTTGGCTAATGCTTGTTGTCACCTTCACATTTCAAAACAACATAATACTTCAGAAACAAACATTTTAAATAATTAAAACTCACCATCTATGGTGATGTTGACTGCATTACTGAACTGTCCTGTTTCAGACTCACACCAGAACACTCCACTAACCCAGCTGCTGGTTATTGTGCATGTGGATCCAGTCATTTTCCCCGAGGAAGAACAGGGATAAAGGTATGATTTCGTAAACGTCCTCACTCTCCACTCTGTGGAGTTTCCCTCACAGCTCAGTGACACAGACGTTGTGGGGAAGTGCTGCACACTGTCAGGACTCACTGTGAGAGACGCTGCTGAATTCAAATCTGAAACACACAAAGAGTGAACATTTAAACCATGCAGACTGAAAAAGACAATGCATTGGTATGGCAAAACTGCCACTTAATTTACCCTGAAAAAACAAACGGGAACAAACTAAAGTAGGAGGAAAACAAAAGTGAAAGTACCAGTGCCTCAATCTCACACTACAAATGTGTTTAATTATATGTATTGTTTATGTCTTAAACTATTTAAGCAGCAGATAAATATCTTAAAACATATTCCAAACTAATAAAGAAAACACTTACCAGTTATATCTAATGTATTGTAGAAGCCTTATATTATTAGGTTTTGGATTGACAAAGTCTAAGGTTTGAACCATGGCGAACAACAACTCATGTGTCAGGATGAAAAGAGATTATTTTGTGTTCAAATTCAGTCAAGTCCAGAAGATGAATCAGTCAATCATCATTCTGTTTTAGAGAAAGGTTTTGAAAACTGAACTATGACCTGATGCTGGTGTAAAAGAAAAGTTCCCAAAATAAGTGACTTTGTTCCATTTTGCAATAATGGAAAAGTCAAAACAAACCTCAAGACCAGGCAAACTTTGATAAAGACATTTGTTGGCCTAATGGTGGTACAAACTACAGAAAGAAAGAAAAAGGAAGAACATACTGACCTCCAGACCAGACAAACTTAGGTTTACTCTGCCAACTGTAAAACACTGGATCTCCTCTTCTTGCTATGCACACATATCCTGCTGTGTGTGTTTGTCCATCAATGATGAAGAGATGCTGTTCAGTCCCATTCTCGCTGCCAGGTAGCAGCTCATAGCTGTAGGAGTTGTAGGAGTGGTCTGGCAGTTTGGGAACAGCCTTATACCAGTAGAAGCTCCAGCCAGCAGACGGATGATCAAGCCTGCAGTTCAGAGTTACTGAGGCTCCAGGACTCGGCCATGATGGAGACACAGTGAGGACAGCCTCAGGTCTGTCTGTTGGAAAACAACATTTCACAGAATGATAACGTTATGATGTATAACTCCTTGGATTCAAACAAACATTTTAAATAATTAAAACTCACCATCTATGGTGATGTTGACTGCATTACTGAACTGTCCGGTTTCAGACTCACACCAGAACACTCCACTAACCTGTCTGCTGGTTATTGTGCATGTGGATCCAGTCATTGTCCCCCAGGAAGAACAGGGATAAAGGTAGTCAGGTTTCGTAAACATCCTCACTTTCCACTCAGTGGAGTTTCCCTCACAGCTCAGTGACACAGACGTTTTGGTGAAGTGCTGCACACTGTCAGGACTCACTGTGAGAGACGCTGCTGAATTCATTTCTAAAACACACAAAGAGTGGACATTTAAACCATGCAGACTGAAAAAGACAATGCATTGGTATGGCAAAACTGCCACTTTATTGACCCTGAAAAAACAAACGGGAACAAACTAAAGTAGGAGGAAAACAAAAGTGAAAGTACCAGTGCCTCAATCTCACACTACAAATGTGTTTAATTATATGTATTGTTTATGTCTTAAACTATTTAACCAGCAGATAAATATCTTAAAACATATTCCAAACTAAAAAAATAAAGAAAACACTTACCAGTTATATCTAATGTATTGTAGAAGCCTTATATTATTAGGTTTTGGATTTACAAAGTCTAAGGTTTGAACCATCGCGAACAACAACTCATGTGTCAGGATGAAAAGAGATTATTTTGTGTTCAAATGCAGTCAAGTCCAGAAGATGAATCAGTCAATCATCATTCTGTGTTAGAGAAAGGTTTTGAAAACTGAACTCTGACCTGATGCTGGTATAAAAGAAAAGTTCCCAAAATAATGGCGCATTTCCACTACACGGCCTCGCACGGCCTCGCTCGGTATGGCTAGGCCTCGTTAGGACTGGCTCACTTTATGGCGCATTTCCATTACAGTTTAGGAACTGGGGTAGTATCTATAGTAACGCAGTGTAGGCGGAGCCGTGACGTCATCTTCAATGAGAACCCCAGAAAAACAACATCAGCCGTTAGCTGTTAGCACTCAGAGCTCACAGCTCCTCATATCTGTTCAGAAACTAGACAAAAGTTAAACAAGTACAAACCACAGACTGTCTGTGTCATGGTGAATACAGTCGCTGCTTTATTTATGTCTGTATAGGCCGTTGTTGTGAGTGTGGACGGTCGGAGCATATACTGCGTTAGCTTAGCCAATCTCCATTTAGAAAAAAACGCATTTTAAAAGGTTTTTCGCCTGCCGTCTGTCTGCAGACTTGTCAAAGCATTAATTCATGGTTTTTACTAACCGGTATCAGTATGTTGTTACTTCGGCATCATTTGAAACGTGTATTACAATTAAATCACGGTCAAATATGTCCATCTTGTTGTAGTTGTAGCCCCCTTGCCAGCGATTCTCTCTCTAGTTTAGCATACTCAGCCCGACTCAGCCTCGTTGTCTCTGGCCCTAGACCCACGATTTTATGAGGCCAGAAAAACTGTGAATTAGGACCCGCCGGCCGGTACTAGGCCAAGTGGAAACGCAACCAAAAACGGGCCGCTGACGTCACAGCCCTCTTAAACCGTGCTCCGCGCTGTAGTGGAAACGCGCCATAAGTGACTTTGTTCCATTTTGCAATAATGGAAAAGTCAAAACAAACCTCAAGACCAGGCAAACTTTGATAAAGACATTTGTTGGCCTAATGGTGGTACAAACTACAGAAAGAAAGAAAAAGGAAGAACATACTGACCTCCAGACCAGACAAACTTAGGTTTGCTGTGCCAACTGTAATACACTGGATCTCCTCTTCCTGCTCTGCACACATATCCTGCTGTGTGTGTTTGTCCATCAATGATGAAGACATCCTGTTCATTCCCTTTCTCACTGCCAGGTAGCAGCTCATAGCTGTAGGAGCTGTAGGAGTTGTAGGAGTTGTTGGAGTGGTCTGACAGTTTGGGAACAGCCTTATACCAGTAGAAGCTCCAGCCAGCAGACGGATGATCAACCCTGCAGTTCAGAGTTACTGAGGCTCCAGGACTCAGCCATGATGGAGACACAGTGAGGACAGCCTCAGGTGTGTCTGTTGGAAAACAACATTTCACAGAATGATAACATTATGATGTATAATTGGTGGGTTACATGCACTCCTTGGATCCTACATATTTTCTGCATACAGTATGTAAAAAACTAATTTAAGTGTGAACTGTACTTAAATATAATAACCAAAATACTATTTGTATATACAGTAAAAAAAAGTTAACTGATAATAAATGACTTACTCTCAGAAACTGTCAATGTGAAAACAATCCATTTGTCACAGGTAATAAAGTATAACAAGGTTTGTTGGTGAAGTATTATCTTTATGTAAATGCTTTGATGTAAGAAACTGATTCCTGTCTTCTTATTCTTATTTTAATACTCATTATTTTGTGATAACGAAAAGCACAGGATTGTACAGTATACTTCACCTGCCTATACAGCGTCAGTGGAGCTGTTCAAACGTTAAAACATTACAGTAATGTACAGATTATATATTAAAACCAACCCGGTATCACGGCCAGACGTGAACATGTGACGATCTACCATGCTGGGAGACGTGAATATGTCACGGTTTCGTCCCTTCAAACGTGACAGTTACACGGTATTGTTAACATGGCCCAACCAATGGAGAAATACCCGGAAGTGCCAAGCAAATGGTCTACCGCGCCTATTGGTCGGTTTTTATTGTCAAAATTAGATGTTTTTCATTTATTTTTTAATCGTCACACTCGATTTCGCCGATTTTCTTGTTGCCCTAGCTGGTCGACACCTCTTTTAGCAGAAACAAAGGCTACATTAATGTATTAAATCGATGTTAATCCATGTGTGTTGATCATTGACTGTATATATAAAGGTGTGGATGTGGAATTAACGGACGTGACGTTGTGCGATTGCGTTGCCAGGCAACGCAATTTACAAACTCTTCAACTACAACCCTAATTATATTTAAAAACATTTTAGAAGGCCTCACGAAATACTTTAATGTAAATTCAAATGTAAATGTGAAGGGATGTGTGTAATGTGGTGATTGACATTATTCACCCACGGATCTATGGGTTGGGGGTATTGTTCCGCACGGACATTTTAGTTAACCGGACTTCCTGTTGATGTGAAATCCGAAAACATTTAAAAAAAAAAAAATAATACTTTATTCCGAGTTTGCTTGCTTTTCTCTTTGGAGGTCATCACATAACGGCATTGTAATACACGGTTCGGCTGCATTAAATATGACATATCTGCCGTAGTTCTGTATTTATAGAGCCCTGATGAGAAGACTTCTGGACAAACAGGAAGAACTGTCGCCAAAACTGAAAACGTGACGTGGATCATCAATATATCAGCAATTAAACAACATCTTACATTTCTTTTCACACAATACGTCTCCTTGCAGTATCAATACTAATTCGGCTGACTTTTATATTTGATCCAATTGGTAGATAGGCTGTATTTACACCATAACGGTGCACAGCTGATAGAAAGGCACATCTAGTGGTTAAAGCACGTTATTGAATTTTATTATTTTATTATTTTTCACAAAAATGAAACCATCAATCGCAAAAACAGAATTAACTGTCATTAGTAAACCACTCAAATAAAAAGATCATAAGTGGTTTTGTTTTACATATATTTTAAGGATAATAATAGCAATGTAACACTGTCTATGACACTTACTGTTAAAATAAACTGATATGGTTCTAAACTGTATTGAAGTAAACATGTATTATTTTGAATTGTATTTTAGTGAACATGTATTGTTTGAACTGTCTTAAGTAATCCCATATATAGATATTGTCTTCTCACTTACAACTCACTGACCCAGAGATCCTGTTACACACACATACACCTCCTTCCACCAGCACACACACATATTATTTTCAAGGTTCTTTCTGGGCATCAATATATCTGTGTACAATGTTTGGTTGTCTGGGAAAGAATAGTTTGTGTGAAATATTCCTTGGGAAAGTAAAGGAGTGAATACAGGTGCAGAGATAAGATTGACTTTGCCCT